GAGAAGAGCTTGAGGCTAAGAAAAGTGAGCAGTCGCTTTTAACTGAGCAACAGAAGAAACAACAGCAGATGATTTCCATGTTCCAGCAACAACTACAGCAACAGAACCAACAACAACAACTACAACAACAGCAGATGCAGCAACAACTACAACAGATGCAAACTATGTTTATGGAATCCCAGAAGCAGCAGGCGCAGCTTATGGCCACCTTATTTCAGAAAATGTCAGAGCAAAAATAGAGTGCATTGCTATTTTGCTTACAACCTGTAGTAAGCAATCTAGAGAACTTTGTTGTGTTGTTACATGATTTTAAGAAATTAAGTCCCCAAAATATCTGGAACTTCTTCCTTCATTCTCTTGCAGTCATATTGTGTTTGCATTGCAGGTTGTACTTATAGTAAATTGACGGAATCTCACCAGTTAAAAATGTTTAATTGTTTATTTCACAAGATGCTATAACATTACGAATGTTCCTAATTGAGACAGTTTGTTAGTAAATGATAATTTAAGAGAAATAATCATAAATATTTGGAGGGTCGAGATAAAAAAAAAACTGGATGTAGTGTTTCCATACAAGCATATTATGGCATTCCTGAGCAAAGCAGAAACCACATACATTTTTCCCACTGAGCTCAAACCTATCTTTAAGTTTTTCTTAAAATCAAGAAACTTAAAATCGTTGATAACGTCGCTGAAAAGCCACGCTACTGAAGAACGAACGGCACTCATTGAATTATTAAAATCTGTCATTTGCTGGGCAAGAACCGCATTTTTGAAGGGAGCTTGGAGATGGACTCTCAGTGGGTATGCCGGGTCTCCGTATAGGCACAAAGGGTGACCAGCCGGGTCGAAAGAGTTCGTAGCCAACTCGTTGTACACTCCGGAATCGGCAAGTGTTACGAAAATTGTATTGCGTGACTTTTAAACTTGACATTCTAGAAGCTTCGCGAGAGTTCGTAGTTTGTCTATTTTAGGATCTTGTGTAAGCGTTTCTATAATTAGACTATTTGGAATGTTCTAGAACTTTATTGTAAAAGTATATAAGTAGGCAGTTCGAGTTAAGTTTTAACTAGTTTTCACAAGCGAAGAGAGTTTGACGTTGGTCGTGTTTAGTCAAGTGTGACGAAAGCAGTGTTTTTTCAAGTTGGCGGAGGCCGTGTAAGTTTATCAAGTTAAGTGAAGTTGGCGGAGGCCGTGTAAGTTTAACGAGTTAAGTGCTGTTGTGGAGTTTTGTCATGCTTCCTGCCCTCTTGAAAGACAAAAATGAAGATTATAATTATATGACAATAATAGCACAATTATTAAGCTCCTCCCTTTTTCTTTCAAGACCCGCCCTTCTCCTCTCGAACATTTCCAAACCGTATCAAGATAACCCTCTCCCATATCACCGTTTTTGCTGCAGTATTATATGTAAATTTAACATTGCAATTATCGTTTCACAGATAACAGGAGCACAAAATTTACGTAAAAATACGGTGAATGTTGGAAAAAATAATAGAGTGAAAATAATACTACCTTTGGTTATTACTCATGGTTAAATATAATTATAGTTCTACTCACCTACTGGGCCATACAAGTTGGCGATAAGACCATTAGGTGTTACAATAGATTGGAACTTCAAGGCATGTACCCTTTTGTGGCCATTGTAGACGATTCGCTGATTTTGGAGTGGACGGCAAATAGGGCGGACAGTGCCATCAACGAAACCCCAGCAGTTATTCAACGCCGCACCCTTTTGATGGATTGCATCTGCATATGTTCGCAGAGAGGCACGGGAGAGGAAGGGCTGGTTAAAATCAGTAAGGTGGTGGCCATGTTCGTTGTAAATCCAGTCTAGAACAACATTGGTCATCATGCTAATTTCTGGGACAGGTCTGCCAAATCGAGGTATCATGTCACTGTAACGACAGGGATATGCAAGGCGTTTAAGCAGCATACACAAGCCTTCCATTCCTTCAAACACGGACCTCTGTGAGCAACGAAAAACAGGTGGAATTCCAAGGGCATCTGCCAAAACGGGCAAATCATTTTTCTCAACACGAAATTCAGCTATGCATTCTTCTTCGCTGAAATTGTCCAGTGAGAATTGTTCATAGTTGTCGTACGGAAATAGTGGATTTTTTGACATATTTACGTCGTAAAGAATAGCAAATTCATTTGCGTTTATGATTCCTTTGACACAGGAAACTAAAAGTAAATCTCGGGTTTCCTTTAAGCTCGACATAGCCTCGGCGAAATGCAAAGTAATCGAAAGCTTTGTGATGGATTATGAATTTGCCGCCAACTCTGCGAAAGCTCGCCGGAGGCGGCGTCACGTTTTCGCGCGCTTTGCTTAAGGATGGTAACTTGTTGTCGCGACCGCAACCTGAAGCCGTTCTAGCCCCAGTTTCTTATCGGTCGTCCTGTCGCCGTCGTCAACGAAAACGTCTGTTGCTTAAGGTGCCTAGTATTATTGGTTCAAGACTGGGCTATGAAATATATGCCGCGGAAATATCGAGAGGCGCAGTCCGACTGGTTTGCAAAGCGTGGTTTGCCATGGCATATCACTGTAGCCATAAGAAGGTCCTAGGAGTCCGGAAGTTTTGAGTCTGAGACTTTTGTTCACGTTTTTCAAAGTTGCTCGCAAGACAGTGCACCTGTAGCGTCCATAATGAGAGACTGTCTGAGCACCCTTAGGAGAAAAACCGGAGCTTCAAAGAGCTTATTTCAAGCAAGATAATGCCGGCTGCTATCACAGTGGCAGCACAGTCGTGTCAACTAAGCTTGCTGGTAACGTGGCTGGGGTGTCTGTTGTACGAAATGACTTTTCAGATCCACAAGGTGGAAAAGGATTGTGTGATCGTCGAGTGGAACACGCTGTTGACTGTCTTAATGCAGACACAAGCTATCAATACGAAGGTTGTTGGACCGATAGGAAGACTGTAATATCACTTGATATGGGACTCTACCAGCCGGCAAAGAAATTGCAAATGCAATCAAGAGATCTACATCATCTCATCCTACGGCCAGGTGAGCTTCACATAGTTATGGCACAACTGAGACCGAACGCGGAATTGACTTATGCTGATCTGAGTCCGGGTTGTATGGTCCCTCAACATTTAGGCAGATCATAGACGGCAATCATGAAAAGAGAGGGGAGAACGCACATTTAATTACCCTGCAGGATTTATTTATTATGCACCAAGAAGGCTTGTTCGAGGCGGACGCTGAATCATATCAGAGACTAGAGCAAGTAGCGATAGAGTTAAGTGACGCATGTGCAGACGGAGAAAAGATCAGAGTAAACAAAGCAAATGCTAAGATACTAGAGACTATAGAGTCCTTAGGTATCCTTAAGAAGATGGAAACATTCGATGACGCGCATGCTACAAATCCTATGTTCAGGGTAATGCGACATTATATGCGCATGATCGTCGAGATGATGGCTTTCATTAAGTCAGTTCGCACTGGAGATTGGGAGCTACACCTGACTAGTTTGGAGTTGTTCACTAAGTACTTTTTCTCCCACGACAGGTTAAATTATGCTCGCATGATACCTGTTTACCAAGCCGAGATGGTTTTACTGAAGTAATCTAGCCCAGAGGTGCATGAGGAATTTGTCAAAGGTAACTGGGTGGTGAACAACAACCCTGATGTTGCGTTCTGTGCGATGGGTGGAGACAACGTTCTTGAGCATGTCAACCGTTCCATGAAGGTTGCAGGGGTACTCACTTGTATAACTTTAAACCCAAGTGCTAGAACGAGATTCTTCCTGATTGCACCGTAGCTAGCTCGGTTAGCAGATGAAGCAAAGGAAATGGCTAGAATGTCCCCAAAGAAACAAAAGTTCCATCATAACCTTGCATCATCTGAATTAGAACGCGAAGATAATAGTATTGACCAATTGCTGACCACCCTACGGAATTTTACTGATCCATTCAAAGAGGACGGTAACGAATTGTTCAACTTGGTAACCAAAGTGATTATGCCTAAAAAAGTGAGAAATAATATTTGTGAGCGAGGTGAAATCGCAAAAAAACTTTTCGAAACCTTCGTTACCGATAGAATCAAGACGAACAGAGTGAACCTCTGGTCACCGATGAAGAGACGCAAACTACTTACATGGAAAGATAGCGAAAAGGTGCTTAAACTTTCTTGCAAAGATAAAGTCATCGAGTTAAAGGAGGACAGATCACTGTTTGCAAGGCTGATAGCTGTATGCAAGAGCAGACCTGAAATAAATATAAAGGAAGTGATTGGCCAGTACGAGTTTTCTGTAGCTCCGAGATCTTTGTTTGCACCCGATGGTACAATGCTTCATTGTTCCGCAGAGAGCGCTTTGATGACAATTCTTGTAAAGCTTGATGGCAAATCAGAGCAAAGAACGACCACTGGTCCTCAGATTAGTGCCAATGAAAGTGTAAATATGGAACCTTCATCTCAGATGCGTGTTGCTGTTGTTAACGCCATGACGGAACTTCAACCTCTTGGCATGCCGGATGTTGCGTTACATAAACCGGAACTGACTGAGAACAAATTACGTCCATGTGATTTGGTTATATAATACGTTTTCCTTCAAGTGTGGAACAGAATGTACTAGGTTTTTCAACATGGATTTAATGAAGACGTTTTTAAGTTGGCGGGTTTCTTAACTCTATGTTTTTACAAGGCTGGACAAATGTAAGTTTTCTGCAATTTGTCGTCGTTTATTTGACTGTCTTTTCGCTAGCTAAGGATTTCCATCTAATTTTGAATCATTTCGCAATTTCTAGCTTCAGATTACCACATTACTACGTTCAACCGCGTTGTTTTAATAAATACAAATACTGAAACTCCAGCCTTTGCCGTGGTTTTGCTCCTTTGACCAATCGCCCATCATCTGAAGATTTTGGTTTTAAACGTCGCTAGTGGGAATTTGGAGCCAACGAAATGGGAAAAGCCAAGAATGTTCGCCGAGTGGCTAAAGGGATCCTCACAAGGACGCTCAACGCCGAAAAAATGTTGATACAAACCAAACACCCCTCGCAAGAAATTCGAGAAGCGTTGAAAGAACTTAAAGCCACCTACACTGATTTGGTATCAAAACACGAAGCCTTCATGATGTATCTAAACGATGAAGAATACGCAGAGGCCGAAACTTGGATGGACGATTGTATAAGTGAGTACATGACATTTTTAATGCTTGCTAATGATTAAACGGATGACGTGAGTGAACACGAGGAACATGAAGTCACTGTGAATGATGAAAATAATGAAGCGCACAGTTTAGCTGACGTCGACGGTCACGAAACTGAAGATAATCATTCTGCCGAACTCGCGGTAGCCTCTTCGGGATCCTTCATTTTAAAACACGAAAAGCCTAAATTACCAAGCTTTCATGGTGACGTAGGGAAACACTTAATTTTTAGAGACGACTTCAAACACGCCGTCGAAAACCACCGTAATGCCAGAGATAGTATTGCAATACTTAATTCGTGTTTGGGACCGGAGCGCGCCAAGTTCATGGAAGGCATCAGCTCTGATTTAAAAGCTGCATGGAAATATTTAGATCAGAATTACGGAGATCGGAGAGTTATTTCTGACACAGTCACAGCTGACATGGAGCGATTTAAGCCAACACAGCCTGGTAAAGATCATCATTTCTGTGACCTCGTTTATCTCGTTAAGCAGTCATTTAATATCCTTAAGAAAGTCAAGCGGCCACAGGACATCAATATAATATCCCTAATCGAAAGAAAATTGACAAGAGATGATTTGAAAATTTGCGCCTGTCATATCAACAGCCGAAAGCTCGACACCCCCATGCACAACCTTCACAGCTGGATGGAAAACAAAATGACAGCTCGCCTATGTTCAGGCGCTACAATACAAAAGGCCGGCGCATCACCCTGCTCGACGGTGCATCTCATTGGTTCCAACTGCCCTGTCGAGGAACGCGGACAAGTAAGCGGTGTCACGGAAGGACTGCTCGACCGAAGAGGCAAGAAAAGCAAATGTCGTGTTACGTTTGTAAAGGGAATCATTATGTCGAACTATGTTCACGATTTCTTGCCATGACACCAGATAACGGTGAAAGATCGTCAAAGAGCAACGGGGGCATTTCTGGTGTCTGAAGCGTGGAAAAGGCCATACTTCGTCTAACTGCTCACGTAGGAAATTGTGCGCAAAGAAATGTCCTGATGGCTCTATATGTAGAAAGCCTCACCAAGAACTCCTTCATGAAGAAAGTCCAACTCCTCTGCAAGTTGCCTTTGTCCAAGACAGCAGCAGAACCATTCTACCTGTAATATCTGGTTTCATGAAAGGAAAAGAAGCTGGTCTTATGGAAACTAATGTTTTCTATGATACTGGAGCTCAAATAAGTCTAATTCGAAGTGCATGCGCCGAGCAGTTAGGGCTAGATCACAAGCCTGTCAAGATTGTAATAACCAAAGTGGATGGAGTTGAAGAAGAGCTCGATACGAAAATGTACAAAGTGCCATTGTATGACGACAGCGGAAAGTCGATTCAGACGATTCAAGCCGTGGGTATTTCCCAGATATCAGAAGACTCAGTGGGAGTAAACATCAGTCGCATATCAAGGATTTTAGAAATGCCTGCGAGCAAGCTTCATCGTAAAGAAGGTCCTATTGATCTCTTGATAGGGATCAATTACCCTCGTTTCCACATCGGAGAAACAAAAGTCAAAGATGGTCTGGTGGCTAGAGGGAGCCCTCTGGGGTGGGTCATCTTTGGGTCCAATTCAGACGACACTCTGCTAGAAGCCAAACAAGTCCTTTACGTCCGTCTATTCAAGCCTGTCGACCTCACGGAATTTTGGACAACTGAATCTATGGGCGTGTCTGTTGTACCATGTACATGTGAGGCCGCCGAAATGTCTGTACAGAAACACGCCGAGTTAAAGCTGATTGAAGAGTCATGTGAATTAAAGGGAAATAAGTGGATAATGGAGTACCCGTTGAAGAGGGACCCAAGCTGTTTACCAAACAATTATGTACAAGTTCTAAAGAAGCTTGAGTTCCCCCAGCGACGCCTTGTGAAACAACCTGATCATGCCAACAGCTAAAACGCACAGATAAAGGAAATGGAAGAAATGAAGTTCTCAAGGAAGATAACGGAGCAAGAGAAGAAGGATTGGACGGGACCAGTACATTACATCGCTCACCACGCTTTTGTGCCCCAGAAAAGAAAAGTACACCAATCACGACCGTGTTCAACAATACAGCATCATTTAAAGGCCACACCCTGAACGACTATTGGTGCAAGGGACCTGATCTTTTAAACAACCTGTCTGGTGTTGTGCTACGGTTGCGAGAAAACGCAGTTGCTATCTGCGGCGACATAAAGATGTACCACATGGTTGCCACCCCTGGATTAGATCCGCACGTCCACATATTTTTATTTCGAAATTTTGAAACAGGACGCGAGCCGGACACTTGCGTAAAAACTGTTCTCACATTCGGAGACCGTCCAGCACCAACGATGGCCATCACAGCAATGCGGAGGACGGCAAAACTGATGCAAGATGTAAAACCAAAGGCCGCTGCTGTCAACGCCTATGAAGCTAAGACGCTGACTTCCGATGTTGATGAAGGTCTTGTGACTGGTGGATTTCAAGTTAAAAAGTGGACACCAAACGTAGCTCTGGATTCTAAAGAAAGTTCAGAAGAAGTCGCGCTGGGAAGCGAAACACATTCAGAGAACGTTTTAGGAACTGTCTAGCTTCCTAAAGAAGATGAATTCTCGTTCAAAATCAAAATCGAATCAGCCAGTGTTAACGATAAATCAATGGTAGTCCCTATCAAGCTAACGAAACGGCAAATTCTCAGCAAGTTCGCGGGAATTTTCAATCCAATTGGAGCGGGTGCAAAAAATCGCTATGCAACAACTTTGGCAGATTGGCCTCGGCTGGGATGAAGAAGTGCCACCAAACACGAGAATCAAATCACTGGCACTGTTCGAAGAGATGACTGCCCTCAACAATGTAAAGTTTGGCTATGGTGAAAACCGTGAAGTAAGCACTCAAGAAAGCTATTGGGGACACGATGCTCGCCCCTTTTGAACTCTATACATGCCTTCTTGAATTGGCAAATTTGGACAATCAGCGACCCATTGGGAGGATTCCAAACGACCCTGACGATGGTACTTATCTTTGTCCAAACAATATCCTGTTAGGGAGAGCATCAAGTACAGCTCCCCAAGGTCCATTCCGCCGTATGGAGAATCCCTGTCGTTGATTTGAATTCTGCCAGAAAATTGTGGATTCTGTCTGGAAGAAATGGGCCAGAGATGTTCTGCCTCACCTTGTACTCAGGAAGAAATGGCATGTGAAAAGAAGAAAAGTTGCACTCAACGACTATGTTATCGTGGTTGATTCAAATGCAGTTCGTGGAAAATGGAACGCGGGCAGAGTTCTTGAAGTATTCCCAGGAGAGGATGGATTAGTGCGAAACGTGCCAGTCAAGACTGCTACTGGAACGTACATGTCCACTATCACCAAGATTTGCGTGATTTATCCTGCCGAAGCCTTTCCCGAGTAGAATGGGTTAACCCATTGCGGGGGGAATGTTGAATTACATAAACCGGAACTGACTGAAAACAATTTACATCCATGTGATTTTGTTATATAATACGTTTTCCTTCAAGTGTGGAACGGAATGTACTAGGTTTTTCAACAAGGATTTTATGAAGACGTTTTTAAATTGGCGGGTTCCTTAACTCTATGTTTTTACGAGGCTGGATAAATGTAAGTTTTCTGCAATTTGTCTTCGTTTATTTGACTGTCTTTTCGCTAGCTAAGGATTCCCATCTAATTTTGTATCATTTCGCAATTTCTAGCTTCAGATTACCACATTACTACGTTCTACAGCGTTGTTTTAATAAATACTGAAAATCCAGCCTTTGCCGTGGATTTACTCCTTTGACCCATCAGCCAACCAGACGACATCAAAAACGCTTCGCAATTAGCTGAGCGCTTTACTTCCAGAATCAATCATAAGTACAAGTCCAGTGATGAAGTGCGTCTGATTTTCGATAGATATGACTTGCCAATGTCTCTCAAAACAGCTACCCGAGTAAAAAGGCAGGCCGGTCAAGATCCCGTATATTACCGTATTAGTAATTCCACACACACCGTCAACGTACCAATGAGAAAACTCCTTTCTCATAGTAAGACCAAGAAGGAGCTATCGAGCTACCTGGCAGAGGAGTTCCTAGATCATGCTATGAAGACGAATCTACGAGTTGTTGTGGCCTGGGGTTGCCAGTGTCGTGCTGCACATCAAAATGTGAATCATCTTTAAAGTGATCAAGAAGAAGCAGACACCAAGATGTTGCTACATGCTCTGGACGCAACTACCAATGGTGCAACGGAGCTTTATATCCATTTTCCAGACACAAATGTTTTAGTTCTGTCTCTGAGATGCTATCCGGAGTTGTGTGTGAAGACATCGTTTGTCACCGGTACGGGTGATATCCATCGTGTGATTGACCTTAGCCCAATAGCTAGCGTCCTCAGTAGTGCTAAACTTGCAGCATTACCAGCTTTCCACACGCTCAGCGGGGCTGACATCACCGGGTGTTTTTCTGGTAAAGGGGCACTTTCATGCTGGAAAACGTTCATGGACGCAGAAGATGTCATAACTGCTTTGGGAAACCTTGGAACCACATTGTATCCCCCAGACGAGATACTAGCCCTTGTGGAGAAGTTTATATGCCAGCTTTACCAGCCTGGAACCGGTAACTCACAAGTCAAAGAACTAAGATGGCATATGTTCAGAAAAAATCAAGTGGAATCGAATAGGCTTCCACCAACACAAGGGGCATTTTATGAAGCAATTCTGAGTGCGCACCTACTATCAAATGACGGTATGGAACAATGATAAAACGTGCTGTCCTAGTTTGCCACAGCCAGATGAAATCGGATGGGAGACAAGGGAGGATAAATGGATTCCCGTCATGACCAAAGAAGCACCTGCTCCTGAAGCAATCATCCAATTGGTTAAGTGCGGTTGTCAAAAGAAACGATGCTCAAACAATCGATGCCACTGCCAGAAATCAGGCTTGAAATGCACCTACCTCTGTTCTTGCTGTGACAATAATAAGCCCTTTGAAAATGCATGTGAGGATAGTGAGACACTGAAAATTGAGTACGACGACTGTGACGATGAGTAGAAAGATTAGAAAAACGAAATTTGTTGAAAAATATAACTTTGTGAAAGTGGAAAGGTACTATTATTAGTACTCTTTGAGGGCCACATTGTATTAAGTCTCTACTTCCGGTCACGTGACCACGCAGAAGTGTCGCCAACAACTACTTATTAAGTAAGACATCCCAGAATATCGAAACAGATTTTAGTTTATCTGTTCTACAGAGCCAACCAACATTCAAGATGGTGTAGTATTTCTGGTTGATAATACATCATTGGAAAATGAGGAAGATCTGAAATCTGATGACCTTGGAGTTTGGAGGGCTAATAAAGTAGCCTCTGACTTTTTTCGTGTCTATGGGTGAGTTGATATATGTATCTACCAATGGGAACTGTTAACATTGCCCTTTCTAATGAGATGTAGAATTGAGTGAATAAAGGAAAGGATATGTTTGGAGTAACCCAAGCATGGGTTATATGGACTAATATTCTAACCAAGGGAAACGTTTTGCAATTAATATTATACCCTAAATTCTTTCAACCTGCTGGTAATTTCGTAGACTTACCATATACTTTAATGATACATGTCCTCTGAAAATCGTTCTTTTCCCATATTAGCCAGTGGTTGGCTGAAAAGGTCACAAGACCCACAAGGTGAATGTCAGGTGCAGCAAATGTACTGACAGAAAAACACTATATTACATGTACACTGTAGTCTACATGTAACTGTTTGTTTGTTCATAGGAACTCCATGTTAAGAACTACAAACAAAGGTTATGAGAGGAAAAATAGTACACACATCGTGCTGAAGAGAAATTACTATTATAATATCATAGGTGACGAATTTCTCCTTAATTTTGGCGCGAAATTTCAGCGTTAATTTGTAATTTCACATGTGAAATTACAAAATTGCCATGGCAACCCTTCCGTACGTCTCAGTGTCAAGATGGCGACGAAGTTTTAAAATGCCGTGAATGAAGATGTCAGGGCACAAAAAGACGCTTTAGAAAACTTGAACACACAAGAGAACATCAAGAAAGATTCTAACAGGTATTTTGCCGAAAAAGTGTGAAACATTCTGAACTTTAAGGCCGATAATTAAGGTCTAAACATTTGAGAGAGTGGAGGTCTCGATCGATACGATCCAGGATAAACATGTCAAAAATCCAAGATTGCTAACATAATTCGTCACCCATGATATTAATAGGTAATTAAATGGTATACTCGCGAAATTAGGGAATAATTTCAATCGTCACCATTTGATTACACATACCAATAAGAGCTCCCCAGATTTCAAAAAACAAATTGATTGTATTTTAGGTACTATGCTTTTCAGTTCTATTAATAGCCAACAAATCTAAATTCATTCACTGACATCATTAGAGGTATTGCTTTCCATGTATAAGGTTATCTGCTAGACGCGCTAGAACTGAATAAAACAAGCACCTTGGATCAATTCAGAATTAAAGAAAAGCATGCGCGATCGTGATGCTGCCTAAAGAAAATCTATGGCATCGAACGATCCACGCGACTGGGCAAAGTACAAAAAGTTGCGAAATACAATAAACAATAACATCAAGACTTCTAAAGCATCTTATTATTCTAATGCTTGTAGTCAATCTAAAGGTAATTCTTGAAAAACAGGGCAAACCATTCAAGAAGTTACTTCCCGTCGCACCAACAATACAACGGTGAAAGAATTGAAACTGAATGGTTCCATTATTTCTAATTCTAGTGAGTTTTCTAATACTTGTAATGACCATTTTTCAACCATTGGGCCCCACCTTGCCAATGAAATTCCTCCAAATGATAATTGCTCTCCTTGAAGCTACGGATAACTGGGCCCTTAATATCGATCGTGGTAATGTTAATGCTGTGGTTTTTCTTGATTAAAAAAGGCATTTGACACTGTTGATGATAAAATCCTTTTTATCTAAAATGAACCTTTACGAAATACAAGGAATTGCTCTCGATTGGTTTAGATCATATTTGACAAATCGTACTCAACAATGTCTCGTTAATGGTTCCCTGTCTAGAATCTGCCCGCTTAAATGCGGGGTACCTCAGGGAACAATTCTAGGTCCCCTTTTATTTCTTATTTACATCATCGATTTGCCAAACTGCCTAGGTTCATGTCAGTCTAGGATGTATGCTGATGACACACATATCACTTATGCAGATGTTGATGTGAATTCAATACAGTTAAATTTGAATCACGATTAAGGTAATCTAAACAAATGGGTTATTTCCAACAAACTTACTTTGAACACCGCTAAAACTGAATTCATGCTAACTGGATTAAGACAAAAATTGAGTACTTTGTCAAGCCAACGCGAGCTCTCAATTGATATGTTCCGATAGAAAAAGTTACCTCTGTAAAATCGCTTGGAATATTTATTGATGAAAATCTACGGTGGCAAATGCAAACGCTTTATGGGACGTGAGACAGGAGGAGATGAGTATGTATTAAAAGAAATTAAGGCAAGTAAGAGTGCGTGTGGCACATGCGAGAGGAAAAACAAACCTTTACCCTCGATTTTTACACCAGGGACGTATTATCAGACAGATAACTCACCTTATAGTGGCTGAGAAAAGAAATGATTTCCTCTCTGGACGAATAACCCGTATTTATTTATTTTGAAAATTGTTTATCCTTGCATTTAAAATTTTGAAAGCGGAATGTTCATCTCTGGAGTGAGAACAGCCATTCAATAAGGTCTCAGCATTTTTTGAAAATGGAAATTCTATCAATATTTGTACAGGATTATTGCGAGTCTCAGCTTAAGGAAATGATTCCAGGTTTGAGAAAATGGCGTATTGATCAGGCTCGAAAGCATGCCGCGCTCGTTGGAGCAGGACGGCCGAAAAACCTACCTGAGATACGTGGTACACGCTTAGATCCTGTGAGGGTGGACCACTTCATTGATTTTATAGCTAGCCCTCATTATTTTTAAGGCGTTACATTTTCACGGAGTAACGCATGAACTTTTCTCCTCACCCTCTCCACTGACCGTAGAAAGCAACTAATGTTCATGGTATATTGTACTTTTACTAAAATCCAACTAGTGGTCTATAATCAATGCTGATTGGTTGAGTTACTACTAGGCTATATGTTATAGCCCATTAGTAACGAAAAGCGTGGGCTTTCAAGAAAGTAGCAAACTCTATCTCAAAACAGATTACAAACTTCACATTGCTGAGGATAGCCGCTGTACTGATCATTGTCGAAAGCATGCATTATCTGAAGCGGAGCCAGAATTCCATGAGCCATGTCGTCACAAAAATGATGTAACATGGGATCGCTGCGAAGTTCTGGAAAACACGCTAACTGAAATTGAAGTAGCAATATCTTCAGAGAATGCACAGCTGAGGTACGGTTTTCTCACCAGTAAGTTTTTCTAGATAAGAGTGTGTTAGTGGAAAATGGTCTGACAACACGGAGAAATTTATATTACGCACATCTGGAAACTGGTCGAGTTTCCCTATTTCTACATAAATCCTTTAGAGGAAAGGGAAGCACCATTTAAAGATTGGGAAAGTAAGGAGTGAGGGTTTCAAGATGCACATTACCGTGTAGCATGAAAATTTTGTGGGAGTTTTATTTTGCGCATTGGCGATTTTTTGTGGTTTGCGGGAACAAATTTTTGCGGTTCAAGATGACTGAAATTTCTGGTGAGAACTAATTTTTGCGATTCTCTGTTCAAGTAGCAGAATATTTAAGTGGAAGAAACCTTAATATGGTATTTTCAACTTTTATTTTACGTTATGTTGAGTCAAAGTTCACTCTACTTACATATTTAATGGAGAATAATACGGTAATCGCTGTAATATCTTACTGCACAAAGGGACTGAACAATAGCAAAACAAAACAAAAGCCTATCCCTACCATACACAATAAAACACTCTTTCGTTAATACGGTATATGCCCGTGTAAACATTTCATGAGAGAAAAATTACAAGGATGGTATGCTGGAGAAGTTGAGAAGAAGATAAACGCTGGGCAAAACACCAGTGACATTCCAATTGAGATGGGCATTCAAGTCATGCGTGAGCTTACCTCACGTTGGTTGATCGATTTTTATCAGTACGTGCAGAACAATCCCGCGATCATCGACAATGAATGGAAAAAATGCGGCATCATAGACGCCCTAGCAAATGATGTTCCTTCAGATGACCCATTCGCACCAATCTGATGAACTGAATTGCTGTTCACTTGACATTTTTTGTTCTTTGTACATTTTTTTGTTTGTCTAACAGACTACCGCATTATGTTTAAGTCCAATTTATAACGCCCCAGTGGCACAAGTCCATTAAAAGCAGAGTTTTTAATTTGACTGAAGCGAGTTAATTTTTGCGGCTTTTTTTTTTCTGCGGGAACTAATTTTTGCGGATCAAGGTCAATCTGCAAAATTCGCAAAAATTAAAACCCGCAAAATTTTCATGCGACACGGTATTTCGACGAAAGTTTAATGCAAGAATTTTTATCCCGGTTACTCGCTCTCGAGTTATGTAACCTTGGATTTTTTTTACTACGCACACCTTTCCCCGCCTTTAACTTTTCTAATGATCTGTCTTTAAGGATTTCCGTGATGTAATTTCTGTAATAATTCCGAACGTCGCGTATTTATTTTTGTGAGACGCACTTGTGGTCTATCCTGCGGACGCTGAAAATAGCTGACATGAGTTGATTTGTCGTTCAAGCATTGCCAAATACAACACTTTTTTACTGAATTATTTCTTACTATGGTAAATGATCAACAAGGTGAGATAGCTCATGAAGTCGAGACAGCACGTAAAAAGATCCGAGACTGGAAAGCTCATTTAATGAGAACTACACACCAAGATGCAGCCAAGTCTACTGTCCTTGAGAAACTGTCTTCCAGCCAAGTATTGATTATCATGGATTGGGCAATGAAGTTTTTGCCTGTCATTTTTCGAGAAAGTCAATCAGAATGGTTTAGCAAAAAGGGAAAATCCTGACATGTGTCCGCGGTAATTACAAAATCTACTGAAGAAGAACTCGAGGTATGGATCCCGATTAAAGGAGCTGTGTCACGAAATTCAGCCAAATCAGGTTATTGCAAAATGCCTGTTAAATTAAAAGAAACATAAAAATGACGCTGTAAAACGTTAAAAGAAGGTCAAAATAACACAACAGATACAATAGCTGCCACAGATGGGCAAAACTGAAGAAGACTGAAACGGATTAAAATTAGGGTTTTTGAAAACTGTTCAGCCTAACAGTTTTTCAAAGTTTTTCTGTGGTGTTTGCAGCTTCAAAAATAATGCTTAGGGGACATATTTGTTTGTCTCTTAATCTCTCATTTTGTCATTTACATGTAATTTCTTTACCTACTTTAAGTTCCATAGCGACTGAGGGCGAGTAATTGGCAAAATAAAACAAAATGAACTGGACTGCCGTGACACAGCCCCTTTAAATGATGTGGTAATATCTGATCACAGTATAGGTAAGGATAAGAAACGATCAGTGAAGATACTAAAGTGAATCTAGAGTTAGGCAGTTTCCTTTTTCTTAGGTATTTGATGTTCAACTGTTTAACATTACTTTTAAACAAAGGTTTCTTTGTTGTTGGTTCTCTCCTTTGCTCCCAGAGGTTTTTCTCCGGGTACTCCGGTTTTCCCTTCTCCCCAAAAACCAACATTTCCAAATCCCAATTCGACCAGGAATCAGTGCTACCTCCTCCTGCTACCAGGATGTGCTACCTCCTAATCTTTATTTATTTTATTATTATTTTAAAGGTTAACTTATTAAAATTAGATAACACAAGAACCAGCACCCTTTCAAATGTTATGCTGGGTTATTCTGTCTTGCTGTTAACATTATCAGTATTACTCTTGCCAAATCACACATTATAAAGAATTTTCATTGAGCCTGTTTAAATTTTACAGAAATCAATTCTTGTTTGCTTACTTTACTTAGAGCGAACTGTTTTTCCTAGGTTAAGACGTTTGTCCATCCCTTTGTGCAGACTTCTCAAAAATGGTTCGCCGTTGCTTCGATGATCGAGCATGTCCTTGTCCAACTAAAGAAATCGCGGCCAATTTTAAACGAGGCATTTTTGAGGTCTGATAATGCAGGCTGTTATCATTGCAGGCCCCTGATGCTACCCGTCCGATCGATTTCAAAGAGAGTAGGTTTCACAATTGGGGTGCATCAGTTGAGACGACTGATGCAGTTCTAAATCTCAAAGGAAGACGTCACATTGGGATGCAGGACTAGTGCAGCATCACAGTAGTCTTTTGGCACGAGAGATTTCATAAAACCATGTGTCTAGTACTTAGGATATAGTAGTTTTACGGTAGCAAGGTCTCTCACTGCCCCACCCCACTCACAGACGGATACAACTCTAGTTTAGTCTCATTTTCACTTGGCATCACAGTAGCAACATTCACTTTACTGCACTAGCAATCATTTTAGCAAAGTCAATTTCCTTTTGTCAACTATGAGTATAAACGAGCTCTTATCAATTGTCAAACCTGGCGAAGAGGAAAAGGAGCCTTTAACAGACGATCAACACACCCTAAAGCGACCGCGAAAATGTCTGGGGCGTAAATTGCTCCATGACGAACACACTTTTTGCGATCCCGGTCCTCATTGCGCTGGCCCTGACGATACACATCTTTCAGATGATGGAAACCTTCCTCCAGACGAGGAGAATGATCTCCTTGAACAAGTCAAGCAACTAAAGCTTAAGGAAGAAGCCTTGGCGAAGACATCTCGCATCGAAAACTTGGAACTCGAGGTAGCAGAAAGACAGTGCCGCATCGAACAGTTAACTAAATTGCAGGGTCCGACTACTGGAGAACACTCCCTATCAGCAGAACATCCAAAGGTCAAAAAGCCTGCTGCAGTGGTCGATTTTCCCTCAACTTCTATGGAACACACTGGGCCAAACAGCTCCAAAGACCATGGCGCTTCTCCTACTCTACATGGACATGACACGAAAACCCCTTCAGTACCAACACCTCTGGACTTTCTGCTCACAGGCTATGCGGAAAATCCGTCGTCGGATCAGCAATCACTTCAATCACAACAAATTCCTGCCCAGCAAATGAACGTCAATAATGTCCTAAATCCTGATGGCCCACTTTCCGGACCTTTGGCAAGCCAGGAGTTCTCCATGTTCCTGAAGCCAGCCCAACTGGTAAAGGGTGAGAGAGTTTTATGAATCGTAGACTTTGTAGATAAAATTGTCACGATCACAGAGGATAGAACAATCTCTGACATGGGAAACACAAAGATAGTCATCTCTTCGGGCCCTAAGAACACAGTTAAAATTATGGAGCTTAGTTCCAAGTTTAGTTGGCCGTCCGTACTGCGGTACGATGACGAATTTCATCATATTCAGGTCGTTTATTACCAACGAAACAACCAAGCTAAGAAGCGAGGTTGACTCGGCAGCAGAATTATAACGCCGTGCAATGTAGGCAAAACCTCTCAAATTCTGCGTAACCATCAAAAATTTGCATTTTTGACCATGTTTGGGCACAGGTAACCCAGGCTCTGTGATAGTACCACACTACGGTTCCAGTAAAATTACAGTGTTTGTATGGGGTAAAAACACCATCCTTTTATTGGCATACAAGGCCATTAGTGGTTCCAAGAAGCAGATTGAAAACATATGGAGACAGAGCTTTCTCTATTGCAGGACCTAAATTGTGGAACGATTTACCTCTAGAGATTAGGAAATGAGCTTCAGTGGCAACTTTCAAGCAATCCCTTAAAACTTTTTTATTTAAGTTACCATATAGGTTATGAGATTCCTTTTGTTTTTAAGATGTTTTTGATTTATATAGTAGATAACTTGGGCTATATTTGAATTATATTGTATATTGTAGATATGTTATAATTTAGATTTTTTTTTTTTTTTTGTAATTAGGTAGCGCTTTGGACAATTATTGGATTTTAGCGCTATATAAATAAAATTATTATTATTATTTAAAGATCAATGAAACTTACTCTGCAGTTAGTTGTTGTTGTCTTTAGTGCTCCAACGAAGTTTCGTGATACTTTGCAGTATTTTGTTCAAATTCACTCTATATACAATAACAATATACAAGGTAGGAGACACGAGATGCCATTTTCGCCGACATGCTCTCATTCAACACAACGTTTTCCACGAAATTCGAACTCCAACGGAAAATAAACACACATACCAGGATCGTAGAAATAGGATAGCAGCAGATATAGAAACCAATGAAGCTTTCCCAGATAGAGAATCCCACAGACTTTGACAAACTCGAACGATATAATCCAAACAGACCGAGAATATGCTCGCCGAAGCAGCCGGGCCAGATCAACGCGCGGCCAAGAAAATGAGGCCTGGGCACTTTGCAAAAAAATTCCATCCCGGGAGTCCTGGGGTGACCATTCTGGGGACGGATACATCATTTGCCCAAAGCCACCCTCCCCTGCTGGAAAAATACTTGATAGAAGGCAATTTTTCTTCCTAGCCAATCACAATTTGCCAGAGTAAACCCCGCACACGCGCCTAAATTTAAATGGCTACAACAAATAAATAAAACCAGGATAGTCTGCCGAGTTACAAGGCGCCTCATTTTGATAGAAATGCCGCTATCAAGGAAGAAACGTCCTTTTCCAGCTGGAGACTTAAAACCTGGTCCTGTCAAAAAAAAAAGTCCAAACTTCTTTTCCTCTTTGAAAGCTTGGTAAGTAAACCGGGGTTGCCTTTAGCAGCCTTCGGAGATGGTCATATACATTCAGCAGAGTGAGACCAAAATGAAAGGAGTGAGAAAAGCGATACATTATTGCTCGACGAAATCAAAGAAAGAGTTCTACATGAAGATTTTGACGGGACTTCAGAGTCGTCTGTAAGTATTGTTACTCATATGTCAGCCGAGCAATCGCGGAACTATTAGAAAGAAAGAGGGTCAGAAAGCACTTCAAATGATAGAACAGCAAGCCTTTCCACTGATGTTAAGAACCTAAAGGAAGATATGAAGCAGTGCAAGAAAATAGGGCGCGAAATTGAAGACCTTTCTCAATACTTGCGCCGCGACTGCTTGGAGCTGACAGGCGTTTTACCAACCGAAGAAGTATCTTGTTTTGACCTTGTTTGTTCTATTGGGAAGGAAATGGGTATCGAGCTGCAAGATGAAGACATCTCCACGGCCCACCGTTTACCCACTTACAATAAAAGTGCAGAAGACAAGATTATCGTCAAGTTTACGCGTCGCAGTATTCGGGACGAGTTTTCCGGAAAGAGGAAAACAATCGCCGGCAAAGAAGTTGGTAAAGTTGGCACTCTACGGGATCTTTCTCAAGACCCAAAGAAGAAATTATATATCTCCGAGTCGCTAACACAAGCAAGAAAGAAATTGTTTGGCAGCATTAACAAGTTTAAGAAGGACAACAAGTGGAAATATATTTGGAGCAACAACGGGCGAATATACCTCAAGCAAAGAGACGGGGAAAAGCGACGTTCACATTCAACCACGCAGACGAGTTCGCTGACTTCAAAAGTAAATTTCCTCTTGGATAAGTGAAGTCTATTTTTTTTCTTTTATTTAGTAGGTGCATATGCCCAAATTTTGCTGTTTCTAGTACCGATCCTGGTAAGTCATTCAGTTGGAACTGTTCAAGTTATTTAATTATAATTACTTGACACGACTGTGAATTATTTATTGGAACTGCCATTTTATGGCTTAACAGACAGGCGAGAATTCGCGAAAGCTGTGGGATCATGGGTGTACGATACTGTTCTTACGCTTGAAGAAAGAGATTTATTTGAGAACGTTCTTGAAAGCCCTGACAAAAACGATCAGTTCTTGAATATCTTAGGAAATTTAAAGATAGAGTCAAAATACTACACAATCAAGCAATCTGGCACGTGCTTTCAAAAATTTAACACAAGAGGCTTCTCAATATTCAATTGTAATATTCGGAGCTTAGGAAAGAATTTATGTCTGCTTAATGATATTTTGATAACCGTGAAGGAAATGCCTAGCATTATAACTATTTCTGAAACTAAGCTAAACGACAATAATCAGCGTCTTCCCAATATTAATATACCTGGTTACAATTTTGTTGGTGTGAATTCTAGAACGAACGCTGGGGGAGTTGGTATTTACATAAAACAAAACCTAAATTTTTTTCGCAGGCGGGACCTAGAGTTTTCTTCTGACGGTTTTGAAACGTGCTTTGTTGAACTACCGAGAGAAAGGCAAAAGAGTATTATTATTAGGTATCCTGCAAGGCAGTTCTCTTGGTCCCCTCCTTTTTCTACTATACATTAATGATATCCCTAACTGCTCCGATAAATTGTCCTTTAGAATATTTGTAGATGATACCAATATTTTTGTGTCTTCCTCAAACGCCGTGGAATTACAAAACTTAATTAACCATGAATTATCCAAAGTTAAAGAATGGTGTGACTAAAACAAGCTATCCATCAACTTAAAGAAAACTAATTATATGATAATTAAATCACCTAAAAAGAAGACAAATATAACATGGGATGTAAATTTAACTAACAATGATGGCTCCACCTACGGCTTAGAAGAGAGAACTTACATAAAATATTTGGGCGTACTTATAGATGACACGCTATCATGGAAACATCAGGTGTCTTATTTATGTACTCGAATTTCTAGAAACACAGGAATTGTTGGCAAACTCAGACACTGCACCTCCCTTTTACAACTTAAACAACTATACTATAACCTGATCTATCCTTATATATCTTATGCGATAACCTCCTGGGGCAGTGCATTTACTACTCAAATTAAAAAAATCCAAACAAAACAAAATCATGTTATCCGCGTTATGTTCTTTGCCACCTTGTTTGGACCAGATACAGACAGTGCATTACCATTACTTAATTTATTGGATTTACTTACTGTTACAAATATCTATAAACTACAGCTTCTTAACTTCACTCATCAGTGGCATTCTAAAAAATTACCAAATATCTTTAATCAGCATTTTCGCTATGCAAGTGAAGTCCATACATATAATACGAGATATGCTTCAAAAAGTAACTTCTACAAACCACGTTCCAGGACCAATATAGGAAAGCAAACAACAGCGGCTATGGCGACCGAATTGTGGCAACAGCTCCCTACCCATATAAAAGACCTTTCAACTTATAACTTTCCTAAAACATTAAAAGAATACTTGTTGGCCGAACAATTAACTTACTGAAATTATTTTATTTTAATCATATCGTCATGTACTATGATGACTGTTTTCTCTTCTTTTTTTTTCCATCTATGTGCTTTCTTCTTTTTTTTTATGGTGTGTGTCTTAAGATGTTTTGTATGTCTAGTTATTGTGATGTCCTGTACATTCGACACTACTTTCAAAGAACTAGTTGCTAGCTCGAAAACCTTACGGTTATCTAGCCGCTAGGCATTTCCTTCTATGTAATAATATTTAGTTTAAATTGTAATTGAATATTCTACGTGTTAAGTTACTAACTATTAAATAAGTTTGACAAACCCTGTAATGGAAATGTGAATAAAGTGTTGTTGTTGTTGTTGTTGTTGTTCAAGATGGGTGATAAAAAGACGCGTACTAGGGTATTTCAGGGCCTCAGACAAAGAACTGAAACTCTGACACAAACGAAAGCCCACACTTGGAGCCTTATCTACACAAATGCTCAGCAGATCGCCAAACCCGGATGGAGTGTTGTCAAGCATACGCTAAACTCGATGAGCTTCGTTCACGTTGAAAACGTCCGCTTTGATAATCAGAATGTGATTACTGACATTAACCTGCGCAACGAATCAGGCAAAATCAGCAGCAACATCAGTTACCAGAAGCGGCAAATGCCCAAGAGGGATGTCGATTCCACAGAGAAAACATTTCACTCAAAGTCCATAGAGGCCACAATAAAACTTTGGATGGACTACATTGATAGTAGTTATGTATGCCAGGGTTTCCTAGTGAAAGACACAGACAACGTTTATGGGGACCCAGTATCAAAACACTATTACATATACTGAAGATGGTATTAAAGAAACAGAGATGAGAGGGTTCTCTTCACACTGTGAAGTCCTGTCCAACAGTGAAGGGGAATGCTGTTCCATGTGCAGCAAAACTAAAGATAATCTGAGAAGAAAACACTTTCGTCAGGAAGAATACAAGGATAGACCCCTTATTCCACAGAGATGCAACCACAAGTACATGTCAAGGGAGCAGCTCCTCTTTTAAGTGGAAAATCTATAGAAACTGCGAACAGCAGAGAATAAGAAGAGAGACAAAATTCAGAGCGAGATGCTAGAGGTAGACGTGCAGGACCATGACGACTTGTATAGCATTCTGAAAAATGTCGACAAGAAAGACGTCCCTGTTTTGTCACGATGGTTCACATATTTAACCGATAGAACGTTCAGTTATATTGACAAGAAGTCGGCGTGTTACAGCCGCATTAATCGCTAAATATGTTAATCGCGCTAGTTCTTTGTTTACTGGTGCACATGCCTTTCACATTCGTTTCAGTTATCGCAATTCATATTCTGTGGCATTTTCTGTATAATTTTTGACATTATTTTGTAAGCTTCGCCGTTTATTTACGATCGTTTCGCTCGAGAGTTCACAGCAACAGTATCTCAGTCATACATCTACCTTTTGTTCAACCTTGTTTTTAGCCCACCTTGTAAGTATTTAGCGTTGTTATTTCATAGTTTCATTACTGTTATTTGCATTCCTTAATAAAAGAAATGCAGCGCCTTGTAACTCGGCAGACTATCCTGGTTTTATTTATTTTTTGTAGGCATTTAAATTTAGGCGCGTGTGCGGTGTTTGCTCTGGCGGATTGTGATTGGCTAGGAAGAAAAATTGCCTTCTATCAAGTACTTTTCCAGCAGGGGAGGCTGGTTTTGCGCAAATGATGTATCGGTCCCCCGAAAGGTCACCCCAGGACTCCCGGGATGGAATTTTTTTGTACAGTGCCCAGGCCTCATTTTCTTGGCCGCGCGTTGATCTGGCCCGGCTGCTTCGGCGAGATTTGCAAAGTGCCCAGGCCTCATTTTCTTGGCCGCGCGTTGATCTGGCCCGGCTGCTTCGGCGAGCATATTCTCGGTCTGTTTGGATTATATCGTTCGAGTTTGTCAAAGTCTGTGGGATTAATTTCTCTATCTGGGAAAGCTTCATTGGTTTCTATATCTGCTGCTATCCTATTTCTACGATCCTGGCATTTTTATTTTCCGTTGGAGTTCGAATTTCGTGGAAAACGTTGTGTTGAATGAGAGCATGTCGGCGAAAATGGCATCTCGTGTCTCCTACCTTGTATATTGTTATTGTATATAGAGTGAATTTGAAGAAATTACTGCAAAGTATCACGAAACTTCGGTGGAGCAATAAGGACAACAACAACTAACTGCAGAGTAAGTTTCATTGATCCTTATTTAGTATTACCTATAAATTTTAGGATGGTGTTTTTACCCCAGACCAACACTGTAATTTTACTGGAACCGTACTGTGGTACTATCACAGAGCCTGGGTTACCTGTGGTTTGGGTGTAAGTAAGACCCCATATTTGGGTAATGACGTCATGGTCTTGTATTTACAACTCGTGGTTCAAGATTGGGTGATTCGGTGTGCAGCTGTTCGTTGTCTGTTCAAGAGGACATATCTGGTGAGCAAGGTTTAATACGATTTCTAGTTTGAAAGGGCAATTAGTGCTCTGGTTTGCTTTATAAATTGCGTTTAACGCAGTTGCTGATCAAGGAATAGGGTTTTACGTTCAAATTTTTGTCAGAACTAGCTTGTTCTTTGCAGCTCTATTTATATTGAGGTAGCGTGTTCGCTTCTCGACTCAGAACCAGGGTTTTCAGTGTTCTTTTTTCTTTTGTGAACTAAATATTAAATGGCAGTTGATCAAGGCAGAGGGTTATATTCTCAAAACCTATATAAGAACCAGCGTGTTCTTCGCAGGTCGATTTACATTGGGCCAGTCCTCGCCTCCGGTGAGTAATGTAAGGTATTTGCGGACCCTTTTTTAAAATGTATTTGTTTTTCGAGAGATTTTGTCTACCAGCATGTTTTTTTGCTGCTCGATTTACATTGAGACAGCCCAAAACTCCCGGGAGGAATGCAACGAAGTTGCGGACCTTTTGTTTTTCAGACTATCATTATGAGTTTCAAGAGGCTCTTTGTCCTGTGACACTCGCTCATTACATCTCTGTATTTTATTCAAGTTTATATTTTTATACCTCTAATACATTCGGCCCCATCCTTGAGCGCTCTTCACACATTTTAGTTTACACCAATTGTTTTCTTATGTATATTAACACACAAAATATTTTTCTTATCCCTGATGACGCCGTTGCTCGGAATTTAATTATTTTTAATTTCAGCAGTCAAAGGCCTCATTTGAGCTATATTTTTCTTTCTCACGTTTATAGCTTTGATACAATGGAATTTTCCATGAAACATAAGTGCTAACTTGCTCATATTTACCAACAAAGCTTTAAACCATGTTGTTATTGTTTAATAAAAGTGAAAGCCTAGAATGTGCCAAAGTTGTTGTTTTGAAGTTGGGTGCCATCCTTTTCTATAGCGGAATCCATTTTAAACCTCTAAAATTATGAAAGAAGATCTAAATAGGCACATTCCACAAAAGATAAACTAATTCGTCTCGTTGGCACTTGCCGGAAGGTACCCCTAGTAATTATCTGTGGAGCTTCGACCCCCACCATCTCCACACTGTAATTCCGGAGTCTAAACGATATGCAGTGGGAACATCTTCCTTGGGATCTGCCCTGGCAAACTCTAGTCCAGATGGCAGGGTAATATGTAGGAATTTTATTCGGGTGAAGGGCTGTTCTCTTGCAGACTATCATTTTGCCCATGTCTGCAATCGTCAGGTAAATGGCAGAACATGCGGGCTTGCGCACCCCTCTAATGGTCATCCCGGGGTTAGCGGCTCGGTCCAGGGACAAGGGGGTCCACCTTCATCTAGCTGACTTCCACTGGCCTCCCCACTTAACACTGATCTCTGGCTGGCAGAACTAATTGGCGATGAGGATGAGGCACTCCTCATAGATTTTGCATGGCTTTAAGTTGGCACTGGCAGATTGTATTTTTCTACCTGCTCAACAGAATAATATTACAAATCTGAAACTAGTGCCACCTACAAACCCAAAGTTGAGCAGACTATTTTGGGCGAAATTGCAGATGGTAACTACGTAATTACTGACGTTAAACCCACTATTATCAGTGCCCTGGGAGCTATTCCCAAACAAGACTCATCAGAGGTTCGATTAATACGCGATTGCTCTCTTGTCCTCCTGGGCGGACCCTTAATGATTACATCAGCTGTTCATCCTTTAAATTTCAAACTTTAGAAAACGCTATAAAAATGCTACAACCAAACTATTTCATGGCTAAAATCGACTTGCGGCATGCATATCGATCTGTTCCCATTCACAAAAGCAATTACCTAGCAACTGGGCTACAGTGGTATTTTGCAGGCCATAACCATCCAGTTACTTTTTGGACACTCGGTTACCTTTTCGTGCCAAGTCTAGTGTTACTACCGCTGCGCACGTATTTCATGCCTGCAATGTAACCACGTGTTTTTGAAACCTGACTCTTTGTAAGTTTGCCCTTTTGGAAGTGTGCTCGTGGAACTCAAAACAGTCGGTAAGTTTTCTGACGTGCATTTCGCCCTTTTCCTTACGAACTTTTGAACACTGAACTCATTATAAGCTTGTATTTTGATTCTGGAAAACCTAACTCATCATGCCTAGGATATTTGACCCTATTTGGACCCACTTCATCGTGAATTTGTTTGAAGTTGACTCGGATCAGATCTATTCGTCTTTGGAAACCTGGAATGTTTATGGAATAAAGACACAGTTTAAAGGGGCTGTGTCACGGCAGTCCAGTTCATTTTGTTTAATTTTGCCAATTACTCGCCCTCAATCGCTATGGTACATAAAGTAAGCAAAGAAATTACAGGTAAATGACAAAATCAGGGATCCGAGACAAACAAATGTGTCCCCTGAGCATTATTTTTGAAGTTGCAAGCAGCAAGGATCAACTTTGAAAAACTGTTTGGCTGAACAGTTTTCAAAAACGTAATAAGTGGTAATTTTTATGTTTCTCTTAATTTAACGGGCATTTTGTACTTTCCTAATTTGCTGAATTTCGTGACACAGCTCCTTTAAC